TTTTTTTTTTTTTTTTTTTTTCTCTTTTTTTTTATATTCTTCTTATCCTCATCGTACCATCCTATCTCTCTATTTGCAATTATTTCGCAATAATATAATTAGTTTCTAAGAAAATGAAATTTAAACGAATACTCGTACCACCCACCATCACCAACCTGTTAGACTTTGGCGTGACGATGTCTCTCGTTTCGGAAGTATATTTTCTTTCAGCTCTGCCACCGTTGAACAACTCGACGGTTTCCCTGGTTACGGTTTCCAGAAGAGGTTCTCCACCACGTCTACCCTTGCTGAAAGTTCTCTGATCCGTTTTACGGACCATAACAACCCTCGACAAGGGTTGGTTGAACTCGTGACCATGCATAGTCGGTGGAATCATTGCTAACGATTGCGAGAGGGGTCCTCCTACGCGTGGAGACCTGAAATTTCATTCAAATAATTGTAGAAAAAAAAAAAAAAACACTCTTATATAATATATATGTATATATATTTTTTTTCTGTGAATAAAAGTTTATTTTTAAATGGTAACACTTTCAATAAATAAAATCATAAAAGTATTGACAATATAATTATCCTAGATGATTCTTATATATTTTTATTAACGTTTGAACAATCTAATCAATGTAATATTTAACAAAAAAAGAAAAATAATACGTGTAATTTTTTAGTGGTGTCGATAATAGGTGAGATAATTTGAAAGAATTTCGTAGAAAGAGAAGGTAACACGTTTGACGCGTGATCTTATCTCTTCGTAGGTAAGTTATGGGATGAGAAAAATGTATCTACGATTATTTCCGTTCCGTGACCGAAGGTCAGTACGTGGTGCAAAGCGGTTAGAACGTTGTTACGTACTCGAGGCTAACAGATACATATACATGAACGTAAATACACACACACACACGCTACATGTATTAGAGAGGATATTCACATACTCGGATGACCAAGAGAAAGAAATTCCCTCTCGAGGAAAATTTAAATGCACAAAAGTTGGAATTATCCGACCGATTAGATCGCTGAGAATTGAAGTATTCGTATAACGGAGAGTAGTATTAGTTGGCTCGTTAAAACTCGGCACGAGTTTTCCCCCCCCCCTCCCTCCCTCCCCCTGTTCAAAGTAACAATTAAAATCGATTAGGTTTTAAGGTCTCTGTTTCTATTTTTTCTTTTCTATACTTTCGCAAAGTCTCGTTAGCGTTCGTAATTTTCCCAAAATTGATTTTAGTATTTTCTTAATATAATATGTGTGTGTGTGTGTGTGTGTGTGTGTGATATTATTATTCTAATCAATTATTATTTTTTTTTACACTTCGCGATGTAAGGAATTATTCGAATGATCGATGATGATTCGTTTTAATAAAAAAAAAAAAAAAAAAGCAACTGTTCGTTAACGCGTCCGCGTTCGAATAAGTGAATCTTAAATCGAAATGAAACTGTCTGCCTGATTTTCGTGACACGCAAAAAAAACAACATCCCTGGTTCTTTTGAAATTGTTATTCCGAAAATAAATTTGTTGATTTTCCCCGTCATAAGTTTAAAGTAGATATTAAATTTGATATTCGTAGAATCCATTAAACACCTATATGGAAATAAATCTAAACATTTCCGAATTCTAATTTGGTTTAGGGTCGATGCAGAAAGTTACTTTTTGCCGGAAAAAAAAAAAAAAGGAAAAAAGAAACAAAGATATGTTTGGCTTAACGACTTTCGTGAGAATCCATCATCGGCATCGTAAATATATTGGAAAGTGTTCCATAGAAAGAAAGTAATAATCATACTAAATAAGAAGAAGAAGAAGAAGAAAAATAAAAAGAAAAAAGGAAAAAGAAAAAGAAGATGAAGAAGTCTGTTTTCCTTCCCATTGCAAAAAGTCTTCTTTATAGTTTGTTTAAGCAGCAATATGCGTGTTCGCAATAATGTTAACCTTGACTTGAAATAAATCCTCGTGTATGATTAAAGAGGATCGATAAAAAGTTGCGGTCACGCGTCGGATATTCGAGGTCGATAGATAACTCGAAAGATTGTCGTAAAGATCATAGATCGATCATCTTACGAAACGATCACGATCGATACGAAACTTGTATCAAAAGTAAAAAAAAAAAAAAAAACCGAAAAAAAAGAATAAAAAACAAATGTAGTAATAATATAAAACTAAAAAAATAATAATAATTATATCGAGAAAAATAAATATAAATGATACGAAAATAAAAAAATGATAACTTACGTTGAAAACGTATATAGAAGAAGATGAATAATAATAACAATAATAATAAAGAAAAATATCTGGTAGTGTAATCGTTGAATTCACGAAGAAAAGGAAAAACGAGGAAGACGAGGATGAGGACGAGAAATAGTAAGAAGAGGTGGTGGAAGAAGAGGAGGACAACACGGAGGGTCCATAATTTAGGCGCGTAACGTGAAAAACGTGGGTTATGGAGGATCCTCAAAGGTTTATATATCGGCGCCGACTAAACTCGGCTTCAACTCACAACTCGGTTCTGCACTCGGTTTAAACCGTGCGACAGGACGAACAAAACTGGCACGAGTCGACCGGCTTACTGAGGGAGAAGGCGTCGTGAGGAACAGACAGAGAGAGAGAGAAAGAAAAAGAGAGAGAAAGAGATATGGTGGAATGGAAAGGAGAGAGGGATTCTTCTCTTCTCTTCTCTTCACTTCTTTTTCTTTTTATCTTTCTATCTCGTTCTTGCTCACGAAGAAAGAGATAGGAGAAAAAGAGAAAGAGAGAGAGAGAGAGAGAGAGAGAGAGAGAGAGAGAGAGAGAGAGAGAGGAAAGGTGGCCAATTAGCCGTTACTCCGTGCTGCAGCAGCAGCAACAGCAACAGCAACAGTATAACAGCAGCAGCACATGCCTATACTGAACGAGTAACTCTCTAGATGATACCAGCTGCAACGAGAAAATACTACTACACTAACCGTACCTCCTAGCTCGATGATGTTCCGAGCAACACTGAACTTTTCTGTAGTGTTCTTTCACCAATCGCATTCGTAAGTTCGAGACCATTGAAATCCTTAGGAAGGTTCGATACCTTAACGAGAAATCATCTGAGATAATATGGTTCATTGTTATAATTGATTTTAAGTTGTCTTGTTTAATTCATTGTTTCGTTTATTTGCTAATACTATGAACGTTGGACGGTTATCGTTTGTATTTAATAATTCCGATTACCACGAATGGGAATTTAAATTCAAAAAATGATATTTAAGATATTCTCTATGAATTTTCCAATCCTCGTGCATTATTTTGATAATATTTCTTTTCTATTTGGAATGCATCTTTAACAGCGTGTGTTCATATAGTTACAATAACAACAACAAAAAATAGAAGAAAAAAGGGATATTTTATTTATGAAATAAAATGAAATGAGGATTAAGAAGAAAATGTATCGATTTGATAACTCTTAAGAGGAAGAATATGATATATATAGAAAATAAATGGAATATAACAATTCGTGATAATAGTTTCGTTCTTTCCGTTTTCCCGACAGAATGCGCATGCGCTTAAGCCAAGTGTTCACCGCGGGAAGGTAAAGATAATTCGAGACGAAGACACACGGACGAACGAGTACCGCTATTCCGGCTGACCGGAATCACTGCTCTGGAACAGCACGATATTCGTTGTCGTATATTCTCTTACATGTATTCTCGCGATGAACAGAAAGCAAGCAAGCAAGCAAACACGCACACCCAACACCGGTCCACCAATTTCTCATTTCGGAGCACGTGCGATTTGCCTAGCGCAGCGCAGTTGCATAGCGCAGCGCAGTTGCATAGCGCAGCGCAGTTGCATAGCGCAGCAATTGCATAGCGCAGTTGCACCTGACTCGCACGTTCCGCTTGGAAAATATCGAACGAGGATCGGGAGAATGAAAATTTCTACGCTGATACGCTCGGAAACGATTCATACTTTTTCTATTTTCTTTTTCTCTTTTATTTGTATTTCTTTTTTTTTTTTCTTTTTTCTTTTTCACGACGAGAAATCATATTATCTTACCATCTTATGGCAAAACCCCATTTAACGTTCACCATTAATATAATGTCGATAAAAGCGTGCATATTTAGTTCGTGAAATTCTTTCAATATATATATTGACGCGTTTATTTATTAATTAACAAATTTGAATTATTTATATCTTTGTATATAATATAGACAAAAAAATATTGTATCGGTCAAAAATGTAAATAGGTGTATAATTAATGTAAACATTTTTCTATATATAGTTATATAAATATTCATTTATAATAGACGTTGAAAAAACAATATCCAACACGTATTTATTTATCGACCAACAATCACGTTATTTTCCATCGAAATGAAATAATAATCATTCGATGATTAACTTCACATTTTATATCGTAACAAATAATATATCCTTCAATTAAATACTTTATTATCGCAGATTTAGAAAAATAAATAATTAATGTTGTATTTTATAGAAAATAATTAGTTCTATCATTCTTCCGATCTAATAGAACAGCACTTTGATAAAAGTCACGAAATGGGAACACGTCCTTCTAGTACTCGGTCGAGTATCTACCTGTTTCAAATTGTGGAACACTTGATTAGAAAGGATCTAACACAGAAAAAAAAAATGAGAATAAGAATAAGAATAAGAATGAGAATAAGAAGAAAGAAGCCTTAGAAAGGGACGTTACTATAAGTAACATGACGTGCGTCCTTCGGGCGTGCATAATACTTTCGTTTCGAGATACTCGACTCGAAAGTAGCATAATTCCTTCCGGAACGAGTACTGTTCTATCCCAAAAGGTAAATACTCGAATACTTTTCTTTTACGATTTTATCCAGATTATTAAAATAATTTCTCTAAGAAACATTCGAGAAATTTCATCGTAACGACAAGTTTTTTCTCAACAATTGATTATTATATTTTAAGAGAAATCTATGAGTGCACTAAAAAATGCATAACCTTCTTACGAATTCTTATCACAAATCAGATTATAATATCTGCCCTTCGATCGTATTCGAGTTTGCATGACCGATTGTAACAAATCATAAATGCATCGTGAAATCGACGACGCGTAGGTTGTATATACAAACGTGTATAGTTTATTTAATTTTATTATCTACGGATATATAATAAGAACACCGTACATTACCAGTGAAAGCAGCCACGAGGTTTGATGATTAACGTGATGAAAAGATATACAGAAGTAGCAGAAGAAGATGAAGATGAAGATGAAGATAAAGAAGATGAAGAAGAAGTTGCAATCTCATTACTCATTTCGAATTCGTGAAAATGAAAATGTTAATTGCACGCGTCTTTCTACGAATCATTTTACCAAGATTTTCTCGGCATGCAATTCTTTTTTCTTTTTTTTTTCCCCCTATCTTTCTCTCGATGTTGTATCAACGATGATGAATGTAATAGAATGATCATTACCGT